ATGGGCTGCCATGTTTGATTTCCTTTGCCAGGTGATGTGTCCATTATAATGGGTTTTTAAAGTGAGCAAATAAGGTTCTTTTAGGACTAAAGGTTACTTTCAGGAGTTATTGCATGTTCCACAAGAACGCCAAAGACCAGTCTAGTAATAGTATTTGACTACAGGTCACTATATCGTTGTTGATGTATTATGTATTGTAATAAAGTGTGCTCCTCTGTGCCATTAAGCCCCATTGTTATGGGAATGCACACACTGCACACTTTTGTAGTCAGGTCGATTCTCACTAGAAGCCCAAATCCAAGATTCAAAGGCTTTCTTGTCATTGCACAGTAGCTATAGTGTATGCCCTATATTCACTCATTTACATTGTCATAAAACAATAAGACGATTAAAAACACATTTGTATTAATGTAAAAAATGTGTATTAATCCGGATCTGAAATGAGTCACACATGAAGTATTTTATTTAGTTTGAGGGGTTTTGAATGTGTTTGAAGATGGATCTTTACAACAAGGGTCTTTTTGTAGAGAGCCGTCGGCTGGGGAGCTCAGGGACAATTGAGAAATGGTTTTAATCTGTGTATGTGAGTTTATTTTTATTTGACATCAACAAAGATAAGGTGTATCCCAATTAATAAGAAGAGTCTTGCAAACAATAATTAACATTTATTGTTGAGCCAAATATGCAAGTTGACTCAAGTTGAGAGAACAGTTAATTATTGATCATTCAGGCTGCTCAACACATTATCATTTGATAATTAAGTAGAAAATGAAGTTCACACAAAAGAGATCCATGAACACCCATCACGCCCAATAAGATCACACAAGTAATAACAGCATTAAAGGGGCGTTACTTTGCATCCCTTAGCACATCATCACACATTGTTTCATTATATCTCTGAACCACTGGACGCTGACATGTCCTGACATGTCTGTCTTAGCTGTCAGTCACCATCACAAGGGGCTGTCTTTGCTCGACACCCATTTCCTCGGCTTTCACAGAAAGGGATTGGCAGTGATGGTGCTTTTATTAAAGATGAAAAAAGCCGCACTTAAACATTGACTCATATACGTGTAATCATGTTACATCATTATTGACTTTAGTGCCTTTCATCAAAATCCCTGTTGGCTCATTCCAACTTCTAGGCAGCGCCGTCATCATGATCCCAGCCTCTTGTAAACACACTATGACTCCCATATATTCCTCCATGTTGTCACGTTTATCTTTTCTGAAGCGTTCTTGAACCATATCAAGGCCTGTCGGAATCAAGATGAAGCTAAGAACTAATATGTACTCTTCCTAGTCAGATTCCTCTCATGCCCAGCGTCCTCGAGTACCGAGGCCTCGGCAGGGTGGGTTAAAGGAATGAGAGTTGAAGGAAACATTCTCTCCTCGAGTGATCCTTGTGTGAGTGGCAGAGCGTCCTTCAGCGTGTTGCTCTCAGTTAGATATTTACACATTCCTCACATCCTACTCACTGCCAGCCAGGGAACACTGACTCCACGTGTCTCATGAAATGTTTGCTCACTGAGTTGGTCCGGCACTTCACTGTAGGTGTGTGTGTTTATTTAGAGCTATAACATCAATGAAAAGAGCTGGTTGCCATCACAAGTCACAAATAATAAAAGTTCACATTTTAAAAGCAGTGTTTTCCTGAAACAGCTGGGGATTGTAGTTTTTTTTTAGCAGCCTTATTTCTTTAGAAGGAAATTGGCCTTTTCTGAGGGACTATTTTCAGCTGCGGATGAATACCTTCCAAAATGTTCCCGCTCCTCCGCTCCCTTCACTGGCTTCCGGTAACTGCTAGAATCCACTTCAAGACACTGGTACTTGCTTACCATGCTGCGAATGGATCTGGCCCTTCCTACATCCAGGACATGGTTAAACCGTACACCCCAGCGCGTGCACTACGCTCTGCATCAGCCAAACGACTCGTTGCGCCCTCGCTGCGAGGGGGACCCAAGTTCCCATCGGCGAAAACACGTGGGTTTGCTGTCCTGGCTCCAGGATGGTGGAATGAGCTCCCCATTGACATCAGGACGGCAGATAGCTTGCACATCTTCCGGCGCAAACTGAGAACTCATCTCTTTCGACTCCACTTCGAGCGCTAGAACGATTAACGAAGCACTTTAATACTAATAAAGGACTGGCTTACCTAAAGCCAGTTGAGTAGCACTTGAAATGTTTGGCTCTATGAAACCTGATGTACTTATATGATTCTGTTTTCTTCAAGGTTGTGTCTTCCTGGTCGAATGTACTTATTGTAAGTCGCTTTGGATAAAAGCGTCAGCTAAATGCAATGTAAAAAAATCATTCAGTGCAATAGTTGGTCTCACTGATGTATTTTAGATTGTTTTTGCACAACACCAGAATTGTATGGCTTTTGATTGGATTTGTTGCAAAAGACAGAAATGTAATATTGTTGTAGTTTTGGCTCTTAAAAAAACTACAAAAATCCTGTTGATACTGTAACCAACGTAACACCAGTATACTCTATATAAGTGACTGTTCTATTAGCACAGTCATCGATCGGGTTCTGGTTAGGGCCGAACGAACACCACAGCAGTGAGGTCATTTCTACACAACCCTTCCCCTTATCTCACAGCAGCACATTCACACCCAAAGAAAGGTCACCAACAAGATTCCTTTCCTAAGAAATACTCAGCATTACATTGCATCAGATGGAGACAGGAACACCCTTCCTCCCCAACAAGTTATTCTGAAGAGTCTGAGTCACTGTAACTACGTGGTCTCATTGTTGGTATGTTTCCTCACAACTTGGGGAACGGTCAGTTGAATTGTTCAGGTTTTTATTTCAGCGATTAGGAGGTTGTCCGGGCAACGAGACACCACAGTTAAGTTATCAGCCAGAAATGAGCATTTCCTAGAACTCTGGAATGACTCAGGAATAATACTCCTAACCCTGTCCAGCCTTTTCTCTGTCTGATCTGTCACTGCCCCTTTAGTTTGGTTCCACTCGTATCCATCCGCCGCTGTCCCAGAAAGAGAGTTTCTAGCCTCTTTTAACTGCACATCCCCCTAAATGATGCTTACAATCATGGCTCCATCAGTAATTTCATCTCCAGTCGCCTCTCAGGCTACAGCAGAATAAATACATTTATGACTCTTATGTATATTATACAGCGAGATTACGCCACTTCATCATGCATTAAGGAAATTCAAGTCTGCTAAATAATGTATGAGTACACTACACTGGATCAAAACGTAATTGTTGACTGTGCTCTCCAGCTCTTTTGCTTCAGTGTGTTTTTAAAGATATGTATTATGCATGCATTCATATTTCTAGCTGCTCTGGATTAAAATGGAGGCTCATCTAAATGTCCTCCGTTGCCGTGGTGAATTGTGTCATCGGAGCTGATTAGGGTCAGGTTCTGTTTTGCGTCCACATGGTTAACATGAGTTTTAGAAGAAGTCCGGGGTTAGAGAAGCATATCCTCTACTTTATGACTCTGTTTCCTCCCTGCATTCCTGCTGTGATTCACTGATAGCCTCCATGTACTTTCACTCGCCTCCTTCTTTGCGGTTTCCAGTGACAGAGCCCCCCCTTAAAGAGAAGCCAGTCACCTGATCGAGTCATTTCCCCATGTGTTTGATCATTTGCTCTTGAGACTTAGTGGGTCATGTCCAGTCGATCAGCTGATCTGTGTTACTGCTCTCTGAGCCTGAAGGCGCCTCCTGCTGGCCGACATCAGAACTGCGTGGGCTGAAGCTTCATTTCCAGGAAATGATTTCAGTGGGAGGGATGTCGGTTTAGCGATCTGAGGATCACAGTGGGAAAGAATGTGAGCACAACAATGGAGCTGTATGGATCCCTGTCCCAGCAGGAGTTGCTGCGACAGAGCTCTGTTCAATACGGATAATACTTCGGCTGTATAACCTTTGCCTTTATTATTATAACTTCGCAAAAGTCATATCACTAAGGATTATTACGCAGTTACACGGTAGATTGTGAGCAATACACTTTTTTTTAAGAATGATTATCTTTGTTAACACTAATACACTATGGAATCAGATCTGCCAATAAGATCACCTTTTTCAGTATCGAGAAAAGATAAGAATTTGAGAGAATCTAAAACCTGGTGAGATCTGTGATCAGCGGGAAAGAACAAAAGAATATGCTTAAAACAGGACAAATGCTAATAGTTAACATGATGACACAAATACGTGTCCCTGTAATCAGTGAGGTGGTGTTACGGTGCACGAGGCAGGTGGGATTTGTTGCTACTGTGATGTCACCTTTTTCTGATGATATCTGCGGTGGATGGAAATGTCCGTGTGGGCTGAGACAGTCATTGTGATCCAGCTGTGGGCTGTGATTGGGATCCAGATGTGGGTTGCAGCAGCCATCAGACAGGCGACCTTTACAGAGGGACTCCACCTGACCCTGCACACCTGTCTGTGGCACTTTCAGTCAAGTCTGTGGGGTTTCTCACATTCAAACATCAAACAGCCGGTGTTAACCCTTTGAGTTAGCACAGAGGACAAATGGTCTCCTGTTTGACAATTGCAGCACATGATTAGGATTCTATTGCACATTTAGCAAAGACATCCTGATATTTCAACCCTACTGGGACAAAGCTGCAGCTAACGCTTTCTTTCATTATTGATTTTCTTTAGTTTTTTAAAACCTCATTTACTCTTTCAAATATAAAACATTTCTGTTAAATGAAGTCTTCAAATTTCCTTTTTTATCCCAACAGTTTAGTTTACAATAATAAAACATGACATTAGAAAAAAGCAGACCAGAGTATCGATGCTGATAATTATTCAGTCGATGATCAGAACTGTTGTATCCATAGACTAATTGTTTGCAGCTCTTTTAAACAACGCATCATAATGTAGTTGCACCCTACAGCGCTCCCATGCATCACATAAAGGCTCTCCAGCCAGATCTCCAGGTGTGTTGCTACAGACAACGAGCCAGTAAGAACATTGAAGTGTTTATCCATATATTCATTCTTGTCTCTCCCGTCCTCCAGGAGCGCTTTGCGGAGATGTTCGGGCAGGACGCGGCGGCAGAGAGCCGGCGCTCCCAGGAGAGCTTCAAGAAGTGGCTGCTGGCAGGGATGACCCTGGTGACCGGGGTGGTGGTGGGCTCGCTCATCGCCCAGAAGCGCCTGTGAAGACCCCCCTCCCCCTACAAGAAGATAAAATGAAGGTCCCGTTTGTCTCGTCAGAACTGCTGATGATGTTTACTCCCCCCTTCCTCCCTCCACACACCTGAGGACTCCTCCTGTGTTGAACTTTGGAGAAAAAGCCAGAGGAGAGGAAGAGTTCCTAGTATTCTTGTGCGGTTACAAAGAGTTCTCTGAAGCGATTGTTCCTTCTTCTCCTCTCGATCCGTCTTTATGTTTGTACGCATCACTTTTAACACATTTTTGGTTTCCTAATCTTGCCCTCACAAAGCGGCTGCAACTGACCCCCCCCCTCCCCCTCCCCTCCCCCGCTCTACGAATGAGCCTAATGGAGAGTGAGAGCAGGGAGGATGTAGCATCTGCTCTCTGAACAGCTTCAGTGTGAACCCAACCATTGTTCTGTCCTGCCCGCTCCTTCATGCTCATTGGTTAGTGAGAAAGAGTGGTGCAGGGATGTGTCCTTAACCCCCAAATGAGTTAGCATTGTAGATTCTCCTTCCAGTTCGCTCTTATGGAAGGCAATGGTTTTTCGGATAATAAGAGCTGTGGTAAACACAAGCTTACACATATTTGTTTACGACGTCCCGCTGGTGAATGTCTGAAGCTTCTACGCAACTGGTTGAAACTACTAAACACCATCACGGCAAAATTGAGTCCGTTGCTAGCCTAACGTTAGCTAAGTACTTCTTGCGATTGCATTTGCTCTAAAAGTGGTGTTAATATTTGAAGTGAATCCATCTGAACAAAGCGTGAAAGTATCATGAACGTGTGTTTGCCAAAGATCTTATTTTCTGCAATATTCCAAAATGGAATGGATAATTGGTTTTTGTGGAAGGAGCCCTTGCTATGCTCAATCCCGGGTTTACAAAGAGACGTCATCATTGCACCACTGTATGAGAAGGAGTCCAAAAGACCTTAGCTAACAGGAGTCTTAAACTCAATTCCTAGCTCCTCCATTCAAACCCCCGCTGACCGCACACTGACCCGTGTGTCAGTTTCTTGTAGGACTGCGTCCATGTTCCCCTCTCAGTCGCTGAGGAACGCAGCAGATACAGTAGCACCCTGAACACACCCCATAGAGATCTGGCTGTCTATTTGGGCAACCCCTTTATTTTAACCCTCCCTATTTAGCATCTATTAGCCCATGTATTCATTGGTTTGTAAAACACTATACAAGTGCTTATCAATGTGTGAGTCAACAATTATAACTTCTCCTACAATGCGTCTGAGTTCAACATTTAGCCAGTAAGACGTTTATTAATGACACGGTCATTCACAGGCAGGTTGAAAATGGTCAATTGTCCGTGCAATTGAAACATTGTTATAATCCATAATCCAGATCACTGCTAAATTATTATTGTTGAAAACTACATTAATAAACACTTAAATATCCTTATGTCTGTTTACAACTACATTATGATGAGCTGCAAACAATTAGTCAGTTTCTGGATAAGTCAACGGCAACAGTTTTGATAATTGATTGAATAATTATCAGCATAAATGTGAGGATTTGCTGCTTGTTTTTCTAATGTTATGTTATATTATTGTAAATTAAACTGTTGGTGTGATAAACGACGACATCTGAAGACTTGATTTTTTAGAGAAAGTGTTAGCTGCAGCTTTTTTTTGGTAAGGTTAAAATAAAGTGTTTGAAATTTGAATTTGAAATAAAATCCTAATCATGTGCTGCAATGCTCCTCTGTGCTCTCTCAATAGTCATTCCTAACTACAAAGCATTACTCAAATGTACGTGTCTCTCACTTTCCCCCCGGAAACATCACAGCCTTTTTGTAGCAAAGTGAAGAGACAAAGCAGTTCTGCCTCACATGTGTTTTCAGTTTCATTAGAAACGTGTCTGTTTATCAGCCAATCAGCAGCTCTCAGCGTCTGCAGGACACACACACCTTCCCATCTCACACACTTTCACTCCAAGTTATCCAGCCATAGCTCTCACCATCCTCCCCCCCTCCTCCTCCCTCTCCCCCAGACACTTGAAATCTGTCAGAGCTCCATCCGTCCCGTCCCCACACACATCCGTCTCCACCTCCTCCTCTGCGATTCCCCCGGCTGTCACTGCACCTAGTCACGTGTGTCAGTCACAGCTGGCCCACATGCTGCTACATACACACACACACACACACACACACACACACACACACACACACACACACACACACACACACACCATGTATACATCACTTCAGGGGACATTACATTGACTTACATGCATTTCCTGGAGACTTATCCTAACCTTAACCATAACCAACACATGCCTTACCCTAACCCTTACCCTAACCCTTACCCTTAACCTTAACCTAACCCTAATCCTAACCAAGTCTTCACCCTAAAATGAATGATTCCCCTTATGGGGACCTCCAATTTGTCCCCATAAGGGAGGCGAGTCCCCAGACGTGACTGTGTAAACAGATTTAGGTCTCCACAAGTATAACAATGCCACACACACACACACACACACCTACCAGTCACATGTAGTGTGCGAGAGACGAGGAGACCCTTTCTTTGTTTCCGAACATCTCTCCATCTTTAATTTAAGTCGGAGGAGGAGGGTTTGTCGCCTGGTGTTTCACGCACCAACAACTGGCAGCTCCATTAATTCACTGGGAAGGGTGGGTGTGGGGGGGGGGTACTTCCCCCTGTTCCCTGTACCCCCACCCAGAGCTCAATCTGGATCTCATCCCGAATACTGTCTCCAGTTTACAACATTCCCTCGTGTGTTACAGCAGCTCAGTACAGGCCATTTTCTTATCGAACATGTTGAGCCATAGAGTGAACATTTAAGGGAACATCGCCTAAATTAAGATTATTTTTGTGACCTAGAAAATCAATATTAGTGACCATGAGCTTCTCTCTCACACCCAGAACCAGAAAGGTAAAGCTGCGTTCCAGACACCTCGGAGCTAAGATGTCTGCCCTCCATGTGTTCCAGGTGCTGACGTTTCTGGAAAGGGTTTTCTCAGAAGTGCAGCCTCCACATTTTTGGAGCATTTGTAAGTGATCTCAAATAGCTTTTGCTGCAGAGAAGATAACCTACAGAGATTGCAATCGCTGACATTAGCGAGATATTTTGATATAGATTGAAGTTTGGAACTATGCATTAGCTTGTATTGCTTTAATTAAATACAGACATAAATACTTGATGTTGCGTTTAAGTTGGTGTTTTAACGTTGTTGTGTGACGTCAGAGAGCTGTCTCTTTGTAAAGTCAGAGTAGATACATTTACGAGTAGAAGCTCTGACTTCAGGTGGCGCTCCATTTGAGTTTTTTTAGTAGAAGGTTGTTATTTTCAAATGTCCAAGTTGTCTGGAACGCAGCATGAGCTCCAATCGTGTCATGTCAGCAGGTAATACGTCTGGAGCTGCTCCGTAGACAATGGATGGTAGAATGATCGTGTTGACCTACAGATGCTTGTTTTATTTTAGAATACCCAAATGAGCATTATTCCACTGTAGTGCTCTCAGAAAATGCTCTCCGAATATTCCCCTGGCTGCTCTCGTGTGATCATCTCTCCATGCATTGTCTATGGAGCTCTTCTGTTTGACATCACAATAATAGCATTCAGTTCATGATGCTCGTATCTTTTGACTGTCTTAGTCCATAGAAAGAATAAGAATCATTTGGATGTCTCTTCATCCCCCTCCTTTCCCTCCTTTCCCTCCTTTCCCTCCTCGTGTTCACTGAATCGTGTACATCTATAAACTCTTCTGGATTTCCCTTTCCAAACTGATGGGAATAAATATATCAACCAATAAAAAACAAACTGACTATTGCTGAGTTTCCTCTGAATGCTCGTGTCCGGAGCGTCTTATTAGCCAAGGTCTGCTCTCATACATTCCAGTACAGTATCAATCTATTTTTCTAGTGTTCTAGTGTATGCCCCACCAAGAAGCTGCTCCTGGCCCCTCACTCACCCCCCCCTGCACATTATGTGTGTGTATGTGTGCGTGCATGTGTGTGAATTACTGTGTGGAAAATGTTGTTGATGGAGGCACAAATGAAGGAAATGTGACAGCATTGGCACGCCTCTATATATATAAATATATATATGCTAGTTATTTAAACTGATTAGAATAGTGCGTTAGCTTAGTGACATATTTAAGGAGAACAGAAGTGATTGCCTTTTAAACATTGTTTATATTTGGTGTAAAAAGCATAATTGTGCTCCTTGGAATGGCCTTAAACTCTTTGCATTGATGTGCATTGTGTTTCTTAGTTTTTTAGGGTTATTGGAGAACATGTTAAGTAAAAGGATATTTTCAAACCGTTAGCTCTCTTGTCGGCCATAAAGAGAACACGGCTAAAGATGTCTGTATGTCTTAGAATGCCGTTGTAAAGTGAATTGACATTGAACCTAATAAAGCCAATGTTGGAACATGAACTGAGTCTGCCGGGTCTTTCTGAAGTCTTGGATCGAGAGTGTTCAAGCGTGCATGAAGAGACGCTCATTAAGACGTGTCAAATATTCAAGGTATTTCCGGAAGAAAAATCATCCTGAAGAAAGTCAATTTGACGCCGAAAATAACTCTTGGACTGCTGTGAGGAAATGTGAATTGTTAAGCATACATCATAGTTAGTGTGTTGCTTTAGTTTGGAACATTCCAGTGAAATCAAATGGTTTGTAAAGCCCCCCTAAGTTCATAAGGAGTACAATGAAAAATTCAACCTGATTTTGTAAAAAATATCCTTATGGTGATAAGATGTAGTTTCCTGTTTCTGGGTTGATTCAAGAGCTTTCAACAGTGGGTCATTGGCTCAACATGCAGTTAGCGATAATGACTCAACTGGCCTTCATATGATTAAAGGACTTCATTACAGACTCAAATTAATTGATAAGAGGGTCTTTAGTCCTGAATAATAAATACCATTGATGTTGATCTGTATTTGTCATGTACTGTGAATGTTTTGCCTTGAGAAGGCCCCCCCCCCTTTTTGAACATTAAAGCATGTAAACACAGTGGAGGCACAAAATACAAATATGGACCTGGAAATCTGCATAACAGGGCCCCTTTAAACAATGATGACCTTGACACTAAAATGCAATCAGCTTAGCAGTTGAGCTCCAGATAATAAAAGAGTTTTACAGAGGCAGAACTGTTTTTATTATAATAAGGTCACAATAGGACGGATACAAGGCTGCAGTGGTTCGAGAAGAGGCCCCTGACCAACAGCTATCGGGGCCAACAGGAAATGTGGAGTTGCTCTATCCTTCTAGTGTTTCTAACTGTATCAATGCCACGTTCAGATCTTCAACACATGGAGGTCAGCTCTCTCTACTTCCACTGGCCCTTCTCATAGTCCCACTGGGCAGCGAAGCCCTCGATGGGGCTAACCCTCATGTCCAACATCCTCTTCACCTGTTTGGCCTGCCACTCAGCGTCAAAGGTCCTGGGGGCTGGAGGGGACACTGAAGCAAACAGGGAATAGAGAGAGAAAACATATATTATATTAATATGTATATGGACTGCAGTACACTCAAAATATTGAATCTCAATTGTTTTCAATCCTGTGTGTATGACTTAAGAACAGATTAAAGCTATATTTCAAGGTTCATTACTTTAACTTCCTACATTTCTTTTTTGTACCTGTTGTTGTACCTGTTGTTGTTGTTGTTGTTGTTGTTGTTGTTGTAATACTCATTTGGGCCACAAGAGGGTGAAGTGCTCCACTAACCAATGTTATATTTAGGAATATAATCCATGTGAGTATACCTTTCTTCATGCACTCCAAACACAATGTAAATATATTGTATGTTGGCAAATTATAAAACCTTACTGTCACTATGGCTAGAAATGTACATTATTTTGTTCTTATCAGTTTTTGGAATCAGTGGTGCACTTAAGCAGTGTATGGTCCAAATGCATATTACAACAACAAACACTACCAACAGTTATCCTGACATGATAATACATGTTTTTTCACCAGGCAAAACTTTTCCGTTCTGTTTTTAAAGATGACATGACAGGAACTAAAACAATTATACAAGCAAAACCTTTTCCACCTGTTGTGAAGTCATAAAGGGAAAGAAAACGGTTTAGATCTGACTAGGATAATGTGTCACCACCATCTTTTATTCTCACTTGCCTCTCAGGGCTTCCCTTTGTCACAGCAGACACTCTGACCTGTCAAATGCTGGTGTAAAGCATAAAGCCTGAAGTCCACTTACCGGGCTCTGGTTTCGTTCATACTGCCTGACCTGTATGGCTCTCTGATACTTAAAAGGAACAGAGCCATCACTAATTCTGTTAGTGACAGCTGTGATCAGTGAGAAAGTCTGCTGTGAAAAAGATCGCTGGCAAGAGACGTTTACCCCGCGTGTGATGTTCAGGCAGAAATGGTGTCTGTTCTCAGCCTCCTGCATTATTACTGTCTAATCTATAAGAGACAGGAGAGTTTCACAGTGTGAGGCAGATTTACCGTAGGCTGTCTGCCAAATGATCACCAGGCCCGTCAGGCCTATGCAGTACAACACCCCGGCCACCACAGTCTTCCACTCTGATGACGACTGGTTCATCTCTGGGTAGGTCTGACAGAAGGAGAGCCGGTACACTACCGGGGGGGGGGGGAGAAAAATGAATTGTATTTCAGTATTTAGTGACTTGGAGCTAAAGTTTGAATGGACGGTGGTGTCTGTCACGTCGGGCAGCAAAACTCTGGTTCTACTTCCTGTCTGAATTCCTTCTCAAATGAGGAAGAAAGAAAGAAAAATCGACAGGGATACTGTTCTCGCTCCTCTCTAGTTCAGATTGATGGAGTAAAAAGGACAGTAATCCACTAGCATGTGGAGTAGAAGTAGAATCCAGCATAACATTTGAATACTGGACTACTTCTGTAAATGTACTTGGATTATTAATTTGTTTTAGCCTTAAATGAATTGTGGTCTCTGAGTATTGAATTGAGCAAACATACTGTATTTTATTTAATAAAGACATTGCAATCATCACACATAGATGCTGCACAGAGTTTGTCGAGCGTATTTATTCATTTGAAGCATGTTTTAAGCTTGTTGTGATGTGTGTTTTCTGCCTGCGTGTATAAGAACCTACAGGCCAGCTTCTCCTCGTTGCTCAGCTGGCCCCAGGGTCCCTTCTCCTTCTCCTTCAGGCTCTTGTCAGCAGGGGTCAGGATGTCTTTGTAGCGTTTATCAGGGAGGGGGATTTCCCGACGGTCCCAGTACATCGGCTTAGACATGTCCACTGCCTCTGACACCTCTGGATGGATGGACAGAGACACGTGTGGAACCAAACTGCTGCAACAACGTACAGTCAAGAGAACATTTTAAAACCTTTAGAAAATGATAACATGTTGTTTAAACACATCTGTGTACTTTTCGTGATGCGGCAGTGCCATCTGCTGGTTTGAGGTCACTTCAGCCTGAGGCCTCCTGATCTGGTACATAGGCCCTCTGAATACTGGGGGAAAGTTACATAAAGTGAACATTTAGTGAATGACTAGTTAATCCAGATTAATTTAATGTGATTGTATTCAGTGGTTAAAGAAAAATTATGTACAAATATTAATATCACACTATGAAAATACTGTTTCAAATGAAAGTCCAGTATTAAAAGTATTAATTCAGTAAAAGAAAGCAACACATTATTAGCAGTATTAAGTAAAATTAAGTATTTTATGCAGAAACTGTTCACTGTTGTATTAGATATTGTATAATCTTTGTTAATGGTTGATTTAAAACAATTGTAGTAGGTTCAGATGGGGCCTCTTTTTTAACTGTTTAGTATAGGACTGGAGCTAATGAATATTTTCATTCTTCTTAATATTTTCTTTATCAAAATGTATGACAATTAATATTTAACTTGACTGTTTGATTGTTTAATTTAGGACAAGACATCATATTTAAACTCTGTATATTGTGTAAGCAAAAATCTTAGTAGGTTAGTTTAAAGGCTTAACTCAGGCAAATCAACAACGCTGTCAAGTAGGCTTTAATTTAAAAAGGTTGAACATTCCCTATGAAAGGAAGTGGCACACAAGTATGAAGTGGCATAAAAGAGATGACTCAAGTGTGTTCATCGCAATTGTAAGTAGACCAACAGGACTTAAGTTAATGTTTTCATCATTAAAAGTCTATGTATGGCTAGGCTAGGATAAAAAGGTTTGCAGTAACCCTATGGCAGTAACATATATGGCCGAACGCAGTGCATTCTGGGACAGCGGGGAATTATAAATGCTCTTAGCAGAGACAGGGGAACATTATTTTACTAAATAAGCTAATTAACGACACCTGTACTTAGGGATTTAAAAGCCCATCAATGTTGTTAGTGCCTACACCTGTCTGAAATACAAAAAATTATACATATTTGGACCATGGGGCCAAAGAAGACTTTACAACCATCCGGACATAGGTAAGATAGCTAATGTTATGCTAACTGAATGCTAACAAAACATTTGTTTATGCATTAATCTACCGGTATGTTATGTGAACTGCAATGTTTCATGCTCAATCTAATTTCCTGTGTAATATTCTGTGTTTCTGTAGTTTAGCAATTTCGTTTGACACTGAAAATAATTAACTTGTTTAGCCAGAGAGCCCCCGGTAGAGGGGGCTGCAGGGGGTTTTTTCTTCACGAAACTGTGTCTCAGGGCTTCTTAATATTTAAAAACCTATTAATGTGTCATACCAGATTAACGGGAAGAAACTCAGCTAACTGACAGTACAAACCATTTTTACCAAAACAAAACAAAGTCTTATAAGAAGCGTCTAAATGACCCCTGAGCGATAAAATGCTAACTCACTTAGCACATAACTCAAGGTAAAAATACCCTTATAACTTATCGTAACTGCACATACAAGATATCCGATTAAAGCTGAGATTCCACAGATTATATAGGTATTAGTATCATCACTGAGCGATCAGAACTCGCGACAGGGGAAGCAAACACAGACATCACAACACGTACCTTTTCGGAGCAAACACGGGAGATCGTCTCACCTTAGCTGTTATTCTGATCAAAAGTCGTGTTCAATGGCATCAACACAATACAAACGCTACTGAAGGTCCATAGGTTAATCCAATGTGTCTGTCACTTTGAAAAAAATATTGATAATCCATAATTCAATTTTTATGTAAAAATCTGAGATTTTAAATTAGCTGCTGATGGTAGCCACCAGAGTGTATCGCAGCTTCCGGTTCAGGGGCATTCTGGCTCACCAATGGGTAATGTTTAGATAGATTTTAGGAACTTCCCCTCGATTCTATTGGCTCTAACGGTTAAAAAGAGATGTCAATCATCAAAATCGAACAACAGAGATATGGAAAATCCACCCAAATGACCCCACAAGTGGGTTTTTTGCTAAACCTCTCTAAAAAGGTCAAATATCACTTGTTTAGCATCAATCTTGATACAGGGTACTTATTATATGTTATAGTTTGGATTCCTAAAGCTTTTCGTCTACTATCCCATCATTCAAGGGTGGTTTTCACTATAAGTAACGTTTTCTTTTGGACGGACACTATAATTAAAAATGTTTTACTATGTTTAATCTGAATTTACTTTAAAATAAAAACATCTATATTGATTCTGACTCCTCTACATCCAACTCACAGATGTAACCTTGCTTTGAGAATAAAGATTATTAATTTAACCCTTTTAGAAGTGAAGATATGGTTATTTGTTCTGGGAATGTCATTTTCGAGCCTGAGACCTGAAAAACAGGCTCAGGGCTTAACAGGTTAAATGTATTGATCACCACCTCATTTGTTCACAGTTTATCCAAAAAATACTTTTTTGCTTGCCGGCCAACGGGCCAATAAAAACACATGGGTGACATATTACCGTGACCATGGCTAGCCATCCTTGCGCTGCTGGTAGTCAAGGCAACAGCCGCGCGCCTCGCCACCAGGCTTCCCACGCGCCCTGCAGTCAGACGGAGCATCTGGAAACAGGTCAGTTAAATACAAGTCTAAATTTGAACACATGCATTGCTTTGAAATGTCTGTGGCTAGTTATCTTATCAGTATTTACTGTCTTGGTTTGACCAAAGAAAAAAAGTATATACATGTATCTAAGATGGTGTGGAAGATGTTTTTTGTCTTCATAAAATATATCTTTGAACACCAATAAGGTAATTAAAGTCAGCTGCTGTAAATGGTGCAGCACTATGCTGCCTTCAGGTGTCGTCAGAAATCATTATAAAAAGTAAAAGTGATTTTCTTTCTCATGACAGGAACCCTTGTAAGGACCTTGCCATTTTAGTAATGTAGCCATTATTTCAAATCAGATTCCAGGTGCTGGATTTTAAAGTTCTGAATCTGCTAATTTTGTATATTTTTCCAGTTTCTTTGACCTATACTTAACTACAGTAAGTATCCCTGGACAGTAAATGCCAAGTCCATCAACAGTACTATTTTGTGGCTAAATCAAATGTTGTGTAAGCAGGACAAAAGCACTGAAATGCACCATGTATTTATGACTCTCGGAAGAGCACTTAAAGGCAGGAATGACCCATCCAACAGTTCATTAAGAGAGTTATTTCTGAACTATTGTACAGGCTAAGCACACTCGCACACTCATTTACATGTTCTAAATGGCCCATTATGTTTTATGTTGCAGTAGTGTGAACTTTGAATCAGCCATTCTCTTTGAAAAGCCATCAGTGATAAGGCATGTCTGTCTGTGAGGTGTTATTCACAGCGACGCATCAGGACATCTCATGGAGTGCTTTATTAAGGATGAATGCCAAAGCCCTTCTTTGTCTGGACACCTCATTATCTTTTACTGCTAAATATACTGCAGTGTGAAAATCACGTTTTAAAGGCACCCACTACACGTGGAGCCTAGCAGGATCAATACTGTTCAGATATGATCACATGACAATATAAAGAGGTATGCATATCTGATATCCTAAACTATCTGTTAGCAAACAAGTGTTGGGTATTTAGCACTTGAATTATAATTCCTGTGTTATTCTAAATACTTAGACTTAGACATTTGCACTGCCAAATGTTGAAATAAACAAAGACACAGTAGTATTGCATAACTATGTCATGTTGTGGGCTAGGTCTTTCTTTCTTTCTTTGGAAGAGAAAGATAATAGTTTCACAGTTTGTGCATGATGTTAGACTATTTCATAAAGTAAAGGGAAGCATTACAAACTAATAGCTTATATAATGTATTATATTGTTATCATTATTGACAGATTAGGTATCTGACAGGAAAAGTGGTATTGGGCTGTATTGTAGATGCTCCATTGATAAAGGCATGGCTCTACGTCACTCTGATAGTCACCAGGTGGTTTTATAAGGATGGATACTTGCATGAGCGTTAAATGAAGCACATTAAGATATAAAATACAAAGTGTGCCCCTCGTGAATGTACAAGATACATTTTGTTGTCGGTGCAGCAAAGGATTCTGTGGCGTAAGACAGGGCTTACCATGCATTGATTCTGGAGAGTTTATCAGACTGTGATTGAAGTTTCTATCAAAGTAGCAGCTTCCCTCATGTTGCTCTGCGCTTGTCCTTTCAACTGTCGTTCTGTGGCTTATCACAAACACACACAGTAAGTGAATATGGCGGAAATTGGCATTTAGTCTATTTTAGAGTCCGAACTGACCTTCGTGCCTCTCGGAAACATTCAATGTGTTTGACTAACATATTGCACAACATGTCTGCAATGTTAAGTAGGAAAACTTTCTTTTATCCCTGCACGATCCAAAAGGGCATGTCATTCTTTGAACAATCTCTCTAAGCTCCACATATTGCTTTGCTTCTAGAATAAATATAACCCCACATACTGTTGAGAAAGCATATTTTCCTATCTCAACACAGCTGCTGTATATTTGTGCAGTTCAACTAATCTTCAGCCAGATCTCTGTCATGGTTTCCTGCACGTCCGCCACTGTCCCTAGCTGTGTGTGGACAGGGGATTCTCATCCCCTCTACACAGTGCCCAAATACATTATTGCCTGTTTATTTCATTCTGTAAAGCCACAGTCAAGATACTCACGGTTGTCGTTTGAGAGTGAAAGTGCACGGTTAGAAGATGCAACAGCCAAAGTGCAACGACAGAAAAAAGTTTGGTTTAGGCCGTCTCCCGTCTCCTCTTTGCTCTTTTTATCGCCACCAACACTCAGCAGAAAGCAACTAGTGGGCGGGAGAGAGGCTGGATGGGAGGGAGAGGAGAGGAGAGGGAGAGGGAGAGGGAGAGGGAGAGGGAGGGAGACCGGACCAGTACATGTAAACAATCTGGAAAAGCATCTGATAGGAAAGAGAAAGTGGGTTTGGGTTTAGCTGCAGATCTAAATAGATATGGACACTTATTTCCCTCTTCATCGTCATTCTCACTGTCTTCACTGCTCCTGTGCAGACACAGACTAAGGCTCGCTTTGAGAGAGGTTACTTTAGGACACGGAGGAGACTTCATTTTACAGTGGGTGGGAAATGCATGGCAGAGTGTGCACATGTGAGAGAGAAAGACAGAGGTTTGAGGAAAGAGGAAAGGCGGACACATGAAGAGATATTTTACCCCAACTAACTAGTGCAAGTTGGCAGCAGGTCAACATTAGAGCTGCTGGCAGAGACCCAGCAGCTTGTGTGTGTTCACACACAGAGCAGCTGCAGAGAGGGGAGGAGAGGCTCAGGGTCGAGTAAGGACAGACTTATTCTCGGTAAGAGAGCCAAGCAGTGCAGGCCTGCACTGCTTGGCTCTGAAAACTTTCCAAAACACACAGGAGCGCCAAACATAAGGCGTAAGAAAATTCACTGATATTTCTATCTGGTGGTTGAATCCTAGTAGTAGACCCTATGCTGAATACACTTCTTTGGACCATGCATGCTTGCGTACAGGCTTACACATAGGATCAATATTGTCTGGTTGGCAATGACAAATGGATCAATCAAGCCAGTGTGCTTTGTGATGTCACAGCCTCATTCAGTTCTCAAAGAAAGAAAATGGGCTCTAGAAGTTGCTTTAAGTTTAAGCTTTAAGTGAAGGCTAGCTAGCTCATCAGCATCAAAGCCAAACTCTGAGGGTCAGTTTGAGAAGACATGCATTCAGGCTGCAGAAACCATGTGCCTGGAAAGGGTGTAGATCTTATTGAAGCTTGGGACAGCCAAATGTAGTACAAAGTCATTTGTTGCATTTGGCTTGCAAATGTTGAGCACATGGACATTTCAGATGTTGCTGAACTGCTCAAATGTAGTGAATGTGGAAAAAGTGCAACACATCGTCTCTAAAGATATCTCAGGCTGTTCATCTGATTTGTAAATGGCCTCATTAACCTTTTCAGAATGTACTTTTACTGCTTTATGTTTCAAAAAGGGGAACATTTGCAAGTGTTGGTAGTTGTGCACATTTCGATTGGTCCGGCCAAGATCAAATTTGAGATCAAATTGGGCTGTACTGTATGTGGCCAATCATCTCAAATGAGTATGACATCCCGATATAACACAAAACACATCCTAAGTAGCAAGAACATGTACAATAAGCCTTGATGTAACTATTTACAGAGAAAAACATCCATAACAAGTCATTTTACTACTTTATAGCTTGACATTTCTGATGTGCTTGAACTTAATTCAGCAACTCTTCAGAACTCTAAATATCGCAGACTCTTAGATATGTTGTGTTGTGAGTTTGAAAGATTCAAGTAGTATCAAAAGAACCATTGTTCTCTCCCTTGTGTTATGATTTGGTATGCAGAGGGCAGTGAGGCAGCCCACAGCTGCAGTGTGATATCAGTCAGTGAGTCAGGTGCCTTTGTGTCATTGTGTTGTATGTTTTCCACCAGCACACTCCAAAGTACTTTCAGAGGAACGATGTCATTTATTATAAACAGGCTTATAAATGATTACCCAGTTTATAATCTTAGAGCTGTAGTGTTGAACTGCAGCACTGAACAGTATCAGTAACCACATTTACCTCAGGATCTGATTTTACATACAAAGATACACTCAGTCGCAAGTCTATTTGTCCACATAGTTTAATCCATCGTAGTCCAACATCTCTGCAATAAATGCTGCCTTCATGGAGGTTAACTTCCTGTTCAAAGTGTTTCAGAGAGGTATATTCTCAGATAGGTCATCTCACGCCTAGACTACTGCAACTCCCTCCTGGCTGGTCTACCTGCATGTGCCATCCGACCTCTGCAGCTCACCCAGAATGCAGCGGCTCGTCTGGTCTTCAACCTTCCTAAATGTTCCCACACCACTCCGCTCCTCCGCTCCTCCGCTCCCTTCACTGGCTTCCGGTGTTACCGAACAAATTATGGCCCGAACAACTGGTGATATTTTATTATTTTCGACAGATGTATTGGGGCGTGTACCTTGAGGACCCATATTTGACTCACCGGGAAAGAAACATCTCGATCGCTTCGCGTGTTGTTCAAATTCATCTTTTGGTATATCTGACTGAATAGGATCACTTTGATGCACGTTCAGTACGCGTATGTGAGGTTGTGGGTGAGAAGCTGATATCGTGAAGCTTACAGTGACGACTAGAACATGACAAAGTAGGTGACTGTGGGGATGCCTGTGCAAAACATTGCGAACTTTAATAAATCATTTTAACAATATATTTTTGTCAGAGTTTCATTTGTACATCGTTCTGAATGTGATGTATAGTAGCTTTGATAGCTGTCCATACCTTCAGACAGCTTCTATGTGAAACACAAGTTGTTTACTCACAGCCCGAAAGCAGCCTGGAGATGGCAAGCTGTGATCCGCTCCGAATAAATGGTGATATAACTTCTCCAGCCATTCTCAAGCGATCAATGTTTTTATTAAATACCTGTATCCCTCTCATCACAACACAACTCTACACTGTGCATCAGATATGTGTCTTTATTACAATTGAATGTAAATTGTCAATTTGAAAATATAGCAACATAAAACGAACAACTATGCACTGGGTTGTTTGTGAAACAGTAGCCTACCATCGAAGATGTTTGCAGACTTGACATGTTATTGCTGTGAAAATAACAAATTGAATCCATAGAATACAGTTGTTCCATCATGACTTCTAGCCTATACGTGTAAGCAATTATGTCTACCTTCCCACTCTTGCAGCATTAACACCCAATGATATCAAAAGCTTAACTGCATAGGTTGCAACATTCACTTTTTGGTTCCCAAATGTCAGTTTAGTTTACATAAATGCACTTTTTGTTTTAACCTACATCACTGTTATAGAAGGAAAAACAACAGTGAAAGTTATATTTCAGAAACAACTTTATTGGAAACGTTTTTTCAACATTCAAACATTTATTGTCATTGCATGACATTGCATTTAGCTGACGCTTTTATCCAAAGCGACTTACAATAAGTGCATTCGACCAAGAAGACACAAACGTGAAGAAAACAGAATCATATAAGTACATCAGGTTTCATAGAGCTAAAACATTTCAACTATATATATATATATATATATATATATATATATATATATATATATATATATACACAATAACTATTGTACCGTATATTCATTCTGGACTTACTTTTCTGTGGTTTACCGGATTAGCCATGGAATATTGTTTTAACATATAACATACATGAAATAACACATGTTATTTCATGTAAGTTATTTTGTTCTGCAGTGTAGAGTTGTGTTGTGATGAGAGGGATACAGGTATTTAATAAAAACATTGATCGCTTGAGAATGGCTGGAGAAGTTGTATCACCATTTATTCGGAGCGGATCACAGCTTGCCATCTCCAGGCTGCTTTCGGGCTGTGAGTAAACAACTTGTGTTTCACATAGAAGCTGTCTGAAGGTATGGACAGCTATCAAAGCTACTATACATCACATTAAGAACGATGTACAACTGAAACTCTGACGAAAATATATTGTTAAAATGATTTATTAAAGTTCGCAATGTTTTGCACAGGCATCCCCACAGTCACCTACTTTGTCATGTTCTAGTCGTAACTGTAAGCTTCACGATATCAGCTTCTCACCCACAACCTCACATACGCGTACTGAACGTGCATCAAAGTGATCCTATTCAGTGTTGTTCAAATTCATACCAAAAGATGAATTTGAACAACACGCGAAGCGATCGAGATGTTTCTTTCCCGGTGAGTCAAATATGGGTCCTCAAGGTACACGCCCCAATACATCTGTCGAAAATAATAAAATATCAACCGTTGTTCGGGCCACAATTTGTTCGGTAACACCGGTAACTGCTAGAATCCACTTCAAGACACTGGTACTTGCGTACCATGCTGCGAATGGTTCTGGCCCTTCCTACATCCAGGACATGGTTAAACTGTACACCCCAGCACGTGCACTCTGCTCCAGGCCCGGACTGGCCATCAGGAGGACCGGGAGGTTTCCCGGTGGCCTGGCCTGTTAAGTGGCCTGCTGGCTTGAGGAATTTTTTTTATGTATTGTGAACGCAACGCTGCGCAAATGTGGGTCTGACTCTGCCTCACAGAGGGTGACTGGCTGTCTCCATGATGTGGCCTGCCGACATGGCCACTTTCATACAGATCATACACTAATGCCCTCGATTGGTCTCGTGTCATTCAAGCTCGGGAGGGTGTGTATGTGTGGCGCGAGCAAGCGAGAGAGAAAGCGCGTGCACTGGTTACGTGTATTGTTGTTGTTAGCATCCGGTGCTAGCTAGCGGCGCTAACGGAATGAGCTGTCAACAAGGTGGAGGAGAGTCCTCTGCTGTCAGACTGAGAGACTGATAACTACAGCTCAGGTGAGGTAAAGGACTTTAGAGTGTTTAGATAGTTAACTTAGTCTAAGTTCACTGTGGGTCTCAAACGGTTTGGTCACCATTTATGTAAACACATATTTCCATTTGAAGGGGGAGTGATTAGTAAAATATGCATGAATAATACAAATAAAATGTTAACTAGGTGAAAAAAGGTAAGATAAACTTGTTGAGAGCTAAAACTAGTCTTTGCTGGTTCCTCAAAGAGGAGCAGGGGGGAGGAGGGAGACAGGTGAGGCTGATTCAGGAGCCCAGACACACTCACAACTATAAATGAACCAAAAACAAATAAATAAACAAGTTTCAATGTTTTTTCATATTGGATATGGTATGTTATTGGTTATGGCCATGTTCTTATGATTTTATGATTAGTTAAATATATACTGTTCTGTTTCATATGGGTGTAGTCTATTTATTTCCCCCTCAAAGT